GTAGGGCAGCGGAAAAGCAGGTGTAGCACGGCCAGAGCAAAACATTGCAGCCCAAGCTTTAACATAAATAAGTCAAGTAGCCCACTGCTAATTGGTCAGGGGCTATTTTCCCACGGTGAGGGGGGTTTTTGACTTTTCTCTTTTCCCAGGGGCTCTAATGGCTTTTCCAGCTTGTACTCCCCACCGCCATGGACTTCCCAAGGGAAATCACTGTAAGCTCCTGACTCTCCAAAACAGGGATCCTGCACTCGCTGTGCCACTGAAAGCATATTTAGTGAACGACTCAAAAAAAAAAACCCCACAGGATGTGCTGGTAAACCCTAGGGACCTTTGACAGGTGGGTTTGGGGTTTGTTTTTTTCCCTTGGCACAAGAGTCCCTACCAGCTCAGCCAACTCGCACGCAAGTCTCAGCGGTGGCTGCTCTGGCAGTGTCCCGCAGGTGCCACAACGCATCCCAGCGTCGTTGCTCTCGCCAGAAGGTGGGCTCGTTCGCCTCCAGACAGACGATGTGATTTTCAGCACTGAACCAGAAACAGGAAAACATGCAATTGGGGGGAAAAAAAAATCTGTTTTGTCTCAAAAGGCCTCCTCTTGTAATGCTTATACACGTGAACTTTTTCCCTTATTTATGAAATATATAACAGTATTTTCAATACATCCACTTTAGTAGAGATTTGTATCAACACCGTGTTAGTGTGCAACATTTGAAATACATTTGTATTTACTTTGATGTGTTGTATAGTGCCACTCGCACAGCACTTGGGGTGATAGAGGAGGGGCAAAAGGGACGCTCACAAGGGTGGTCTCTACAGATACAGTAAATGCTCTTTTTCTGCAGCTTTTACAATAAAACTTGATGAACTCCTGCTGACCTCCTTTGTTTTGTGCTTTATTGTTGGATTACTGGCGACTGTCTCCTTTTGCACTGGATAGATGTTAGGCTGCAACGTATGGCCCGTGGGAAGGGCTCGGTGCCGCCTGCCCAGCGGCCGCTGAGGTCTTCAGGGCAGTGCACTAGCCCAGGGCCTGCGGGACGATCATTTCCAGCCCTTGAGGAGGCTGCTAGCGTTTGCCCAGTGCCCAGGTGCAGCCCCAGCCCGGGCAGGAACAAATGACAATGAAAATATTGTTTTAAGAAATAATAATAACAACAATAATAATAATATTTCTTCCTCTACCTCCAAGTCAGCAGCAAGCTGTTCATTTATGACTCAATGTTGCTGGGTTTTTTCCTTTGCTGTGGAAGTTTGCTTATAGTTTTCCAAAACCTCTGTGCTTCCCACATCCACGATTAAGGCTGCATCGTCTCCGGCGCTGGACCCTGAAGAGGGCTCGTGGCAGCCCTGTAAAAACAACAAGGCTGGAACATGAAAGTGCCTGTTTTTCCCATGCACAGGGTACTGTTGCACCATGTTTTTATTGTTAAGATTAATCCACTATTTCTGTGTCTTTAATTTATAATTATAATTTTGTTCTGAAAAAAAAAAAAGCTGTCTTCACATGGAGCTATTGTAACACTGCGACACAGATGGCTGATTGATTATCAAAATGTCTAGTAGCATCTTTATAATAGTCCTATGGAAAAAAAAATTTTGACAAGCATTATTTGCAGAAATAAATTCCATTTAATTAAGACAAGCAGTCTGCACTGAAGGACATCCTGGCTTGTCAACAATATTAACTGCAGCAGATACTGCTAGAGGTTATGCTTTGCATTAGGTCTAAATGGTACAGGACAGGAGCTTGCTGAAGAATTTCTTGTTTTCCTGTGTCACAAGGTTGAGCTGGCCACTTCTATTCACTTATTTCTTTATGCAGAGTGCGGCAGAGGCGGCGGATCGGATGCAGGCTCGGCCCCGGCGGTCGCTCTGTGCCGATGGGTCGCGGAGCCTCGCTGGCGCCAGGGGCGAGCAGAGCAGGCAGCTCAGGGGCCGCAGCATTCCCAAAACTATTTCAAGGAGAAATTATGCAGATAAGTCGACATGTTCAAGGCAAAAAGCCAAAAGGAATTATGTGCAAAACCTCAGCACAAGTCGCGGTAGCGCGGGTTACGGCCGAGGAGTGCAGCTCAGTTTTCTCCCAGTGCCCGTTCATGGGAACCAGCCTGGGGCAGCGGGACGGGCAGTCCGTCGCATCGAGGCACCCTGGCAGCAGGCAAAACCCCTAATGCCACTGCTCTTCCATCTGTGAGTGACACCCCACTGGAAACCAGTGGCTTTTTTCATTTCCGAGGGAGGGCATTTTCATTTCCTAGGGTCGGTGTCACTGGAGGATGGAGCGGCCGGCAGCAGTGGGCTGAAAGGGGCATCGTGGCTCTCGCAGCAAGGCATAGCAAGTGCAATTTTGTGTTTTTTATAAAATCCCCTCTGCCAGTACGTCCCCTTTCCATCTTTCAGATGGAACCGGGGAAGAAACTCTTCATGAACAAGAGCTCTGCTGCGAGCGGCACGACGCCGCCCCTCTGCTGGCAACCCCGGCAGCGCGTTCCCCAGACCCAGTGGAGGGCAGTTTCATCCAAGCAGGATGCTTTCGGCGAGTGTGGGAGGAATAAGGGCAGCAGAGACGATGTTGTTTCGATTATCGCAATGCAAACTACAGGCTAACTCCCAGTGCTTGCTGATGGCTCGCAGCAACCCGGGAGTCAGCGGGAGCTGCCCTGGGGGACCCGGCCTTTCCCGCGCTAGTCCAGGGCTAACGCTATTGCTCCATGTTATCTTTACGAGGGGGAAAAAGACAATTAGCAGATGCACTTACGGGGAATCATAACAAAATATAGCCCTCTGCAAAATAAGAAGGGCTGGGGCCGTTGGCACACCCCCCCCGGGCAGGCCAGGCGCTGTTACAGCCCGCACAAGCCCTCACGTGGGCGACAATGCAGAACATGTTAAATCTGTGTTTACTTTAATGGACCCAACAATAAAAGGCAGCTGCTGGTGCTTGTTTCTCTGTGTCAGCCAAACAAACGCCGCATGAGCATCTGCAGCGAGGAAAAGCACCGCCGCACTGTCAGGCCCACCTGTAAATACCGTTGAAAAGCACAACCTGACTAATACATCAGGGGCCGATGGTGGCCATGGGATTAATGCAAGACTGGCAGGAGATGCTCACTGGGGGAAATAATATATTCTCACTGGTGCAGGAGAAATAGCAATAACAGTAATGGATGTGCGTTGTGTAGTCCTCATGGTAAAACCAAAGCCTTTGTGAATGAGTAGCCTACAGCGGTGGCTCCCCAGACTTGGCTTTCTTATTTTGTTTAGTCCAGCTATAGCAATCAGATGGGCCCCTGCCTCTATCAGCTGGAAAAAAAAAAATCACATAGTCCAGATGAAAGGTCCAAGAACATTAAGAAATGTAATACAATGTCACAGTAATTCTTTAATAGATCGGGACATGCTTAATGATTTCCAGCAATGTTTAAAAAAAAAAACTGTTATTCCTTATGTATTTGTTTGTTTTCCTGACGATAAAAGAAATCAAAATGTCAAATGGTTCATGGAGGACCATAAAGCTTTGCAGAACAAAGCTTGACTCATGCTGGAGATTTTGATTGTGCAGGGCTCACTGCAGGTATGTTCCCACAGGCAGCAGAGCAAAGCACTACACGTGTCCTACCAAACGCTATAAAGAAGGATGTCTGAAAGACAGGGGTTCAGGACTGTGTCCCGCTAGGAGCTGGAGGGCAGATGAGGAAGGTAAGGTTCTGGAAGCCTCTGTCCTCCACCAGCACCCTTGGTGGGGCAGGAGGAAGGATGGAGACAGCCCTCGTATCCGAGCTGCAAAACGTGCTCCTGCATTTCCTTAGAAATTTTAATCCCTGCTAAGTCAAACTAAAAACTGAACCAGGGAACGAGCAACAGCAACGGAGCTCGTTTCAAGTTTGGCGTCTGCCACTCTGCTCTGGGCATAAACCGCAGATGTCCTTCCACCTTCTGCCTCTCTGGGCAGTACTTCACGGCAACAAACTCTTTTCCATTCTCTATGCAGTATCGAGTATAAAACAGATCACAGTCCTGACCAGCTACTGGCGTAAAAATGGTTGGAAGGTGCAATGGTTTTCGGTATATGAAGCAATCGATAGAAATACTGGATTTGCCAATATTTTAGGTGTTGGTATAGGAAATTCATTTGAAGCGAGGAGAAAAACAGAAGACCATTTCTTTGTGCTACCCTTATGATGGCCATTAGCATTATTAGTAAGCCCATCACTAATAACTTCAATCCTATGTATGGGGTTTTACATGCTTAATTCCCATTAAATATAAGGTACTACAAGGTAGATGAATCCCTCCTGAGATAGGAGGCAAAGGTTCTCCTGCTTTTAGGTAGTATTGACATGTCCTGCACTGCCCACTGCAGCCCTGGTGGGCCCAGGAGGTGAATTAGTACATGGAAAGTGCTTCTGAGCAGAAAGTTCAGGAACTACAACATCAATTTGTAATTAATTGCAAAACAAAAAGTTTAAATCACCATGCACGGTTTTTCTTTAAGATGCTTTATGGTCACTACACGTATTTAAAGGATAGCGGTAACTGGGGCATGCAATTTCATCTTCCTGCTCTAACTACAACAACTAACAACACTCTAACTAAACAGCATCAGTTCAGTGAGGAGGACCTTTAAATCTTCGTTAAACTCATAATTTCCATGATAAATATTCACAAACTAACAAATAATCCCTTAGAAAATGCAGGGTTTTTTTAAAGGAAATCCAACAGCTGCTAGTGCACTGCTAGGAAAACTGGACATTGTTTTTAATGGGAAAGCCATGGTACGGGAAAAATTGTGGAATTTTTTTTTTTTTTTAATGTCTTAGTGGATAGAGTGACTTAATCTATTGCACTCACAGTTCCACACACAGGCTAATTCTGCCGTGACCGCTGCTTTCAGTTTGGCAGGGCATGTGGTGAATGTGCATTCCCAAAAGGACGAATCAATTTCTGGTTAAAACTATGATGGGGGTTGGCCAATGGCTTCTAAACTGAGGTAGGGAGCAGAGCTTGCTCAAGATGCATGACATTTTCAACAAATACTTGTAGTAGAGACAAGGGATTATCCTCAGGGCAATTGTCTTGCTTTTGCTAGGAAGGCACAATTGTATTACAGGTTAGATCTGATGGCCAGAATGGGAAGGCAAACCTGGAACGGGGGCTGTGTGGCAGTTTGGGGTCATGTTTTGTCCTAAACTTCTCTGAGGGTTGCCCTCTGGTCCAGGATCATTAGTCAAATATAGCCTTATATAAAAACAAATAAAGCAATTACTATGGCATCTGGAAGTGCCGCAGTTGCAGCCTATACACATTACACATGTGCAATAATTAAATTTCATATAATATTTATATAGCCTTAGTCTCCAAACTATCCTCAGCAGTTCCCTTCCCTTCCTTCTGATGCCCTTTCAGATGCGATTCCTCCCATCTTTTTCCCTCCTGGGAAAAAGTTTGTTAAATCGAAAGGCCAAAGCTTGCGGGACCTGCCTTGCTCTAAAAGCCCATGGGGAAGGTGGCGATGGGAGGTAGGTGCTGCACCGCTTTCTTCCAACACGCCACGTCCTATTACGCCCTTCCAACTCTTGCTTTGCTGAGTGTTGCACAAAGGCATGTGGGAGGTCGCACCTCTCCCGAACCTCGTCTGAACTCCTCACGGACAAGCAGCACGAAGGCACGGGGAAAGCCAGGCTTGCTGTGGCTCCTGAGTACTGACCAACGGGAAGGGAAAGATGGGTCCATGAGTGATTAATGGAAAAGGGCTTCGTAGTATTTGCTAAAAAGACAATAGAATAAAAAATGGTAATTTAATTAATAACATTAATATATGATTAATAACATATTAATAATAGATAATTATATGTAACATTTAAATAACACTTAAATTTGACACCGTATTTTGCCTTTCTAGACTCTCACATGCAGCTCAGTGCATTAGGCAACATGTAACTGCCCTGCTTGGTCTTGCTTTTCAGCGTGTCGCATCCCATGCAACTCATCTTTCTCATTCGCATTTTTCTAACTGAGCTCTCGCCCTTTTCAGCCTCATACGCAGGCATAGCAATTCCCCCTCTGATCGTCACGTACTAACATCACCAAAATCGACCTGTTTTTAATGGAAAGGTCCCCAAAGTGGTGCGGAGGCGTGTGAAGGGCCAGGCAGAGGCATTCACCACTGATCCCCACCTCCCAGCAGCTGAAAGCAAAGTGAACAAGATTCATGGCGATAAACACAGACAAGTCCCAAAAGGCCTTAACCAAAACAAGGCAATTCAACTGCAAAGCATTTTAAATATTTGCTATAAAAAATGCCCCAAAGCGATGGATACCTATAAAAGCACCACGGTGCCCACAGCAGGGGCGCAGATGCTCCCTTGCCCCGTGGACCAACTGGGCACCCAGCTCTGATCTAGCTGCTCCCACCACCCCAGTTTAGAGCTACCCGAAGGTGCCCCATGGGATGGAAAACCTGGCTTCTGGCTCTGCTTGTGCAGAGCAGATCTCTCTGCACTGGCTTGATGGATGAGTGCACAAAGAAGGAGCGGGAAGAAATAAGGAAACTTTAGTAGAGATAAGTAGGATTTACAATGCTGTCATCTCTAGCAACTTTGGCTTCTCAATTCATTAAAAGTCCAGACAAATTGGATGTTTGGATTCATTTAAAATAATTTCTCTTCTTTGACCTAGCTTAATTTATCATTTTACTTCCTTCCGCTGTGCTTAGAGAAGCTGCTGTTTAAATGAACCCAGTGGAATATATGAGTGAAATATTAAGCAGTTATCATCAACAACAGGGTACATTAAAACCCAGCACCATAGCTTTCCTTCAGCTGTTTCTGCCAAGCCACACACAAAGTATTCTCCTACAGATGTAGGACGTGTGATTCTTGCTGCATTAAAGTTGAGACACCTTATAGCAGTGTTTTCACAACTCACACATGTTTCTCCGGGATTCAGCTGCAAGGCCCTGCTGAGCAATACAACAGCAAAGGAGAAACCTCTACATCATTTAATCCTGGTCCTAAGACACATTTTCAATTATTTCAATAAAATCTTCCCCTGTTTATATTTCTGCCATTTTGTGTAATTTTCTTAATGTAAATGTATTTTTACGAAATGCTACATTCTGCTGATGAAAAGTGTTATTTCTAATATTCTACACGCAAATGTATCAACAAGGGAGAGGCTAGATAACCAGCAAGTATCTCCGCAAACATTCAGGTCTTGCATTTCTGTCACGGATTTCTGCGTACGTCAGCACCGGGAGGCTCTGTCCATCCAGCCTGCAGGAACCTGTGCCCCCCTGTCCAGGGATACTCATGACCCGGGGGAAAGGCATGTGTTACTCCATCTTTCCATCTGAAATAGCATCAGTGAAGGCTACTTAAATTACATTTATATGCCAAGTTTAAGCAAAGATATAAGGAATCCCGTATGGCAGTACTAAGTGTTGATGTCGTCTTAACAAGCGACTGGTATTAATGGAGTTGTCAGGTGGGGAGGAGGAAAAGAAACAAGGCCCAAAAGATACAGGACTTCCCCAACAACATGAACAAACTGGGCACAGAATGGAACGAACTAGTAAAAGCAATGCAAATACTAAGTAGAGGTGACGATGCTTCTTGGCCACAGTGCTTTCTGCGTAACACAAAAAACTCCAAACTGCAACAAAAGCTAACGTTCACGACAAGTCAATCCTTCCCTAAGTAACTAACCTGGACTGCACTAACATAACCTCAAAAGATTTTTTTTTTTTTCTGGGATGTTCCTCTACTAGATGTCAACAAAAATCGTTACTGTGGCCTAAAAATAGTAGAGCACATACACACCTGAAAGCAATATGGCACCTCCGTCCAAAGCACAAACGATAAGTGCAATAAAGTAGAAAAGAGAACAATCATGCGCTTGTGCTGTGCTTCCAGAAGAGCTCCAGCCCCCCACCACGCTCGTCGTCTGCGAGGCAGAATTACAGTGAGGAGCCCCAAAGGCAAAGAAGTTTTACATAAGACATAACGGGGCTTCAAAGGTAAGATAACTGACAGCTAAAATCACTTCCTCAGTGCTGTGTTCAATATATATATACAGATAAAATATTATAAAATATAATCAAGTGGTCCTCTGAAGACGACACGGCTTTTCCTAGCATTTAGTAGAGTCAGGACGCCGTGGGTAGCACAGGAAACTCTTCCCCCTATTTCCCCTACGACACCAACGTCTGCCATACACCAGTACTGCAGTTTCAGCCTTTCAGTAGCTTTTTACACACGTGTTAATTTAAATGTAAACTTTTGTTGGTCTTGGTCTTAGGTTTCCCAGGTGACTAAGGCTGACACTTAGCGCTAAGGCTCCTGTTTTCTGACCGTTCGCGGCATCCAGGAGACCTTTCCGTGCTGCTTTCTTTGGAAAGAAAAGGGAAAATTTCTGGCAAGGGAAAATCCTTGGTGCAGAAGGGCACAGACACGTTAGGGACGTCACAGCAGACCTGAGCACTCATCCACAGAGCAAGCAGCCAGGAGCAGTAGGACTCTGCTAGGGGACAGGGATAATGTACCTGGGGCAATAGGTAACCACAGAAAAATATGTATAAATGGAAAGCCTAATCCAATGAGTTTTCCCTGGTAAGAACGTTCCAGCCACTTTTAGACGTGTCTCTGTGTGAGCAGCAGTTTCTATTCATATTCAGTAGCTGTTTGAGCTCAGAAGGGGAACCTCTGGCATACGGGCTTGTAATATAATAATATATGCGTAATATCTGAAGATCAAGATTATCTTTCTATTAAATTAGATAACAAATAATTAGATAATTCTAATTTACTTTATGAATCTTTTAAAGAGTAAACTGCTTACAGCCAGCTAATGCAATAAACTTACTTTACAAGCAGAGAGAAACATCTGTTACGACGAGGCGTCTGCAGCACATATTAGGATTCTGTATGTGCCCAGCAGTAGTTAGAGTAAATGTATCATTAAGTTAGTATCCTCTCCCATTCAGAGCACACTTTTCAAGATTTATATACTGCAGACAATAAGATAACAGTAGACTCGGCTTGCCCTCACCTAGTGCTGCATTCACCCCAGGGCCCACGACAAGATAACAAAAAATGCAAGACAAAGCATGAAAGGTAGGTCACTTCTACTCATGACAAAGGAAATAAATATAATTTCAGACCCACACACATGCAAAGGCAGAAGCTATGCTAAAAGGGCGTTGTTGGGGCCCCAACATCAAGCACTCAAAAATCGAGCAAGTTGCCTGTACATCCTTCCTTGTATGTTCATCACTGCCATAGATGAAATTGCAGGGAATGGCCCTGGCCACAGCCTGCCCAGTATGGGCAAATCTTTGATTAACCTGACTTCTAAAAAAGCTAAAATACCTTGTCTGAATATGTGAAAAATTGCAATTCTTTTTTTTCCTGAAAGTTTTTAAACTTACCAAATTAGGCAAATAGGTGGGGGAGAAAGGAACATTCTTGACATAGGAAGCTACTCTTGTGATGGATGTGACAGGTCCTTGTCAGAGCCAAAGGGTACTAGGACTTCTAAAAGAAAAGATCAACCAACAGATTTTCACCTGGACAACCTTCCTCCCATCTTTTCCAGGTTAGGGTGGAAGCCCAGAGGACCTACGTGAAGAAGAGAAAGGCAATGTGATCCATCTCTCCTTGCTCGCCGAGATATGGGGCATGTTCTCACCCAGAAAGGCAAAGCAGCGCCCTGAACCCATTCAGGTTACATGCTTTCGAAAAGCATCCTTTATAACAACCAAAACCAAACACTTTTACCCCTGGAAGTCCAGACAGTACTATTACCTGCTGCAAGTCTAAAAGACTGTTATCATTTTTGCAAAAACATTTAAGGGCCACAGGGACTAGTGATCAGAATTGACTAGTGATTTCTTAGCTGCCCCTGATGTTTGATGTGCAAAATGTGAGTAGAACCTGATTTTTTTTTGAGGATGGATGCATTATTGCCCTTGATACAGCTTGTCTATGTTTGTAATTGAACTGAGAGCACAATAAAAAAATAAAACCAAATCTGCCCAGTAATGCTATTGTGCATCTTAGCAGTAATAATAAACCACATTGTCCCTTCAGATAGATGCTCACAGTGCTGAAGATAGTTCATGATGTCATTTAAGTGGAATAAAATAAGTGCATGGATGGTTTGTGTCAATACATCCTGAAACAGTGCACAGAGCAACAGAGACTCCTGAAGTTTATCTTCTTGACATCCGGCAAGGCCAAGCTGAGCCCGTACCTGTGTCCAGATCTAGAACCGCAATCCCGAGTGCGGACACAGCAGTGCAGAAGTGCACCTGTAGCCACGAATATCTGGGAAGATTAAAGGCTTTGGGGAGAATGAGCTTGAACAGCATAAAACAAAATAAATAAATACATGAGCCACATCACAGTCACCTACACAACAAAATTCCCTCCAAAGACTTTGTACGTGGTGGAAAAAAACTCAGCAAAGAGAGCTTATTTACCCTTCTGAACAGAGCTATTTGGAGCTACCCACCATGCTCTTGAGAAGACGTAATTGAAGCTCCTTGCTCCTGGGGGCTGTCACTTGCTCTGCCAGGTATGCGCTGTGCCAGGAGGCAGAGACACGAAGCGATGGGTTGCACATCAGCGACTGTAACAATGATATTAGTATAAGGTTACTGGACTGATGCATAGACGCTTGAGCTAACTGCTTCTTAGATGCAGAGTGAAGGTCCTGTGGTATCCAGGAAAGCAGGAAACAATGCACTGACACTGCTGAAGCTGCACTGCTGATGTGCCAGTATGGACAGGAACCCACTGACACATCTCACTGCTGGCCTCAGCAAAGAGATGCTGAAAAGACCCGTTTGGTTTTTTTTTTTCGCCTACTGAAGATACTTCCATCCCAGGATGGACTGATTGATATGAAAAATCCTGAGGTCTTTCAGCACCAAGGAGCCTATCCTTGTCTCTTCTGTGCTATGCCTGGTGGTGAGGAACAGCCTGCACTGCTGCCTTCTGGTGTGTCCCCACGGAGGCAGACTGGGGACTCCCTCAAAATGAGTTTCACCTCTGCCTGGTGGTCTCCAAAGGGAAGTTCGGTGCACATGTCTTCAAGTGGAGATCTAGGCCAGCGTTTGTCAACATGGTACGTATGGGAAACAGGAGAGTTTTAATTTCACTTTTCTCCTGGTCCTGGAAATGTGCCTCTTCCCAAGAAAACAAGTAAATAAAAATCACAGAAAAATTGACAACTGCGCACGCTCTGGAGAAGGGCAGACTCTCCCTCTGGTGAGGGAGATTTCTAGACCAATTATCTCATTTATCATAGACTGTTTGTTAAGTAAATATTCATGATATATAAATGCTAGTGGCACTTTAATATTCTGATTAGCATGGTACCGCTATTCTTCTGTCTAGATAATGGTGTAAGTCATACTAAGTGAAGTAACTTTGTGGGTCACGTGATATAAAGCTGACTTACTTAGACTTGAATGTCTGGTCCAAATAACTTGCAATGTAAATTGCACTGAATTTGCCTTTTCTGTCTTCTCTGAAATACAATAAATAAAAAGTATGAGAGTTGCAAAACAAATCTGTCCAAGTTCTCTTCCCTCTCCATATATGGTCAGGTTCAAAGGCAGAGAGAAACCTGCAAAACATTCAACAGTTATCCCCTGCGCCTGCAATAAATTCATATCTATTTGCAAATAAAAGATCAGTGCACTTTCTGCTTCAGATTTCAGACTTTTCTGTACACTGTGCAGCTATTACAGCAAAACCTCCATTCAAGAGGGGAAGAAACCTCAATATGAAATAAAGGGATGTGAATGATATAAAGGCCATATGGTTGAGTGAAATATGATCATTGTGTCTAAATTGCTTTTTTAACTGTGCCTGGATGTGTTTATAAACTACCTTTACAGGTCACACAAAAAAGCATTACACAGATGGTTTACCATTGAAAGCCTGATATTATTAACATCCACAGTACCTTGTCGTTTGGACTAACATTACTGAAATACATTGTACTGACCACTGCTGTATTTTTGCAGTTCAGAAGCACATCTGAAAGGCAACTTACATGACAACCAAGTATCAATTTTAGGCCGAGTGAGTGGAATGAGTAACGAAATAAAAGGAAACATTAACAGGCACCAACAACAAAAAACAGAATTATTTTGGCCATGGCAGTTTCTAATGAAATGAAGCAGAACAACATATTCAGTCTTAGTTGGTTTTATTTTTAAATAGCAAAATTAATAGTTCATTTGCCAGTGCACTGCTCACATCTCAAGTCTACAAAAATTAACTAGAGGAGCTCTTAGTCAGACTCTGATTCAAAACACTTCAGCCCAGGTGCAGCTCTGTGCTCAAGCCTAAACCCACGCATACTCAAAAATGCATAATCTCCTAAATGCTGGGCACCCGGTCACATCCCAATGACTAGAAGGGAAGGGGATCACAGAGGAATGGGGCTGGAGGCACCTCTGGAAGTTGCCTAGTCCAAGCCCTGCTCCAGGTGGGGCAGCTCAGGCAGGTTGCCCAGGACCATGCCCAGGTGGGCACTGAGTCTCTCAGAGGATGGAGACCCAGAGCCTCCCCTGGCAAACCTTTTGGCTTAACTACTTTGCTGAATCAGTGCCTAGCAGATCTTCTGGTCATAACACTTGCACAATCTGTAGTGCCAAATCCCAGAAAAGGTTTGCACAAAACTGATAAGTCCAAGCACTGCAGGAAGCAGGTCAGCCAGCCTGGCCAGGGCCTTCTTGGATGTGCCGACATGGCTTTGTGGGCCACTGGTACTTGAACCCCTGCCCCCGGCTCAGCCAAGGGCCTCTATGATGCCAGCCTACCTTGCCGTCCAGCTGTGGCTGAACCGGTCCTCAGCATTTTGTACCGCTTGAAATTCTCCTGGTGAACCAGAAGTACCTGAGAAAGAACAAGTAAATATTTAATCTACTGTCTGGGTTTTAACAGGTAGTTCTGATTAGAGCAATTGAATTTCTATCTGCAAAGATGATTTGTATGCTCAGAATATCAGAATCGGTTGTTCACTTGGGGATGGTACGAGTAGAGAACTTTTTCCCTAGAAACGCTTGAATTACTAACATTTCAGCTATTCTTTTAATGAGTCCAGCCTGAGTGGATGCTATTTTATCCGTATTGATGCAACAGACTGGTCAGGGAAACTGCAACCACAACAATGTATTTTCAAAGCCGGGAATGAACTTGATGGGTACCAATCAGCCACCAATAGCAATATCAAATACAGTTTAATCAATAGCAGAAGACAGTGCTGAACTAGCACTGGTGGTGCAAACATTCACCCAAGCATGTACTCTGTCCCAGCGGCAGATATCAGCACAGTCCCAGTCGTACTGCCTTCAGATCCAACACTATAACCTTCTAAAGGGCAGAGGAGGAGAGACTCAAATCTGAACTTTCTTATTTTTAGTTAATTGCTTACATTACTGTAATTTAGTAATTTGTATTTAATTTCCTGTTCAAAGGGGGAAAAGGATTACAAGAAACAGCTGTTACCCCCTGCAGCCTGTAGAACAAAATGAACCAGGAAAGCTCATCTGACCATCTGATTGCCTTTTTACTAGGTAACACAGATGCTGAGAAGGTGGTAAGGACTGAGGAATGGCAATACACTAACTTCTCTTTTAGGGCTTTTTCATCCTGATTTGCATTACCTAGTAAAAAATAAAATGCACAGTTAGCAAGCTCACTTTCTTTTCCAGATGTTGAGTGCACAGCAAATACCTGGTTTTGTCTTTTTTCTAATATATGAGACAGAAGTGTGTCTACTGACTTTTTGCAGTAAAGTACTCATTTTTCTAAAGGATGTTTAAGCAAAAGTATATGTACCTTATCTGTAAAGGGTCAATGTTTCTGTTTCATGTAGAACTTCAAAGCCATAACTGCTAAGAAAGGTGGTGGGTTGCTTTAATATACTCTGACATAAATGTAAACCTTGGCCACAGTATCTGAAAACTGGTGCAGCATCTTGACATATTCTCTAAGCGGTATGCTATGGTTTGCAAATGCAAAAATCAGCATAAGTTGCAAACTAAAGTGAAGCAGGAATGCTAGTGAGGTATCTACGCCAGAAGCGCCAGTAAAGAAGAGAGAAAACAGAAAAGAAATCATTTCCAACCTCTTTGGTTTACCCATTTTGACAGTTACGTCAAACACAAATTAATAGATTCAATAGAGGTGCAATTCTGTGGCAACTGATACATAGGTCAATAGGGACCTTCTGAACTTGAAAAATCTATTAATCCATTTCTAGAGCTCTCTGGTCATAGTCAAATCAGTTTAATAGGATACAAATGAAATTGCCGTGACTGTCCTCTGATTGCAAGTCATGTCACTGTGAAACGAGGACAGCTGAGAGCCTGGAGGCTCAGTCTAAAGGGAAACATCAGGATAGTCCAGAAGCAAGCGCAGAAGTGCCTCAGCCAACACTTTGCTCCTGGCCTGTTCCTCCTGCTCCACCTGCGGAACTGGCTCAGTCTTGTGGCTTTGGCTTATGGTTTCCACTCCGTAATTTCCTCACCGGCTCAGCAATGTTTGCTTTAGAGATCATTGTCATCAGCTTTGGTAGAGACTCTCAAAACCCACTAGATTAGACAATTTGTATTGCTCAGTAGTTGCACTACTCCTTATGCACTTCTCCAGCTGAGGACAAACCCGCCCTTCACGTTGGCCGTGCAAACAGTTTGTTTAACTACGACTTGAGCAGCCAGAGGACGGCATGAGTTATACCTTCGCCCAGCTCCAGGGGATTGGGGCACCCCGATCCAGAGGCTGCAGTCGGTTTGTTCCCGATAGAGAGGAGAGTGAGCACCGAGGGGACCGTCTGCAGGCATGAACCGAGGTGAGAGTGGTCACAGCCTTGCCCAAGGAAGGAGTGCACGTATCGCGGGGTTAGGGAAGAGATAGTCACTCTGCTAGAAGAAAAGTCTACTGTCTTCTTCAATAGAAAAGCATTTCAAATCATTAAAAAATGCAGTGCCAAACTATAAAAATTACAGCTGAATCCAGCTCCGTGCCAGGCTGACATTGGTAAAGGCATCTAGACCATGTCTCCTTATGAAAACAAGCCCATAAAGGTCTTGAGCTTCTACGTGACAGTCAGACCTGCAACAACCCTTCTGCCTCAGCTTGGTGCCGCGTTTGATCTCCGTGTCCGCGATTACACAAAGCTGTTGCACAGCGAAGCCATTTTACAAGCCTTCCAACGGCCAATCAGTTAAACACATAGAGCCACTCCGGCGACGCGAGGCTAACTTTCTAGGCGGTGCCTCATCCGTCGGTCATTCGCGCAATGAGCTTGATTCATGCTTCACAGCAGTTACCGCCGGTGGGTCGGTGCCTGCTGCTTGCGGCCCTGC